TGGGCGATGGATGAGTCTTTTGACATCATTAGCAAGTAATCCATCAGGAAAATCAATAATACTTGACTTTGTTACTGATACTGTTGATGATACGTTAAATTGTATTGATAAACAAGGATTACCTGAAGTTTCGCGTGGATTATTGTCCTTATTTTTGGACTTTATAAACACCAGTAGCACCGCGAATTTCGTATATGATCTTATTATGGAATTTTTATTTTCAATATGTAATCATTCTATAATAAGTTCTGGGGTTGTTATCCCTGCAATTGATGATTTATCACTTATTATTGACAATTTATTGGATTATGTGAAGATAGGAAGGAATGTCCGGCTTCAGAATCAATCATTGATCATTTTGAAAAAAATAGTAGAAACAGAAATAGGTGTATTAATAGTCTTAACTAAACAAGAATATCGGCAATTTATTGGTAATATGATTACCTGGGTCCCAAATCTTTTAAGATCACCAGATCTCAGAATGCAAGACTTGAATATTGCATATAACTTAGTGGTTTTTATTCTAAAGGTCATCTCGTATATTCCTCGCATCGACGATGAATCAATTGATATTGAAGAAATTAACTCGCTATCGATGTTAATCGAAGCTCATAAAGATCTCGAAATTCTTAATGCATATGATAATATCGAACAACATGTTCTCGAGCTTTCATTCGATTCTAATCGTATTGATGAGGACATTATACTTGACAATCATTTATGTCAATCAATTGTTAATGTAATCCGTACATTAAAGGAGCATTTACATGCCTATGCTCGCACATTAAAACAAAACGACCGTTCAGTCAACCGAGATGATGTTATAAAAAAATATGACCTGAGAATGCTAGAAGTTGCTAAAACACTTCATAATGACAATGTTTCATCAAACAATGGGATTAATAGAGCAAGTAATTTGGGCGCAATAATTGGTAATCTGATCATCTTAATTTATTTATTCATTTTTTTTATCTTTATTTTTATTATAATTATTTTATTTGTTAATTTATGCAGATGATTATCCAGATATTCCTTTTTACGATGTTGTGGAGGATCCTGAAGGAAAAGACATTGTGGGTGGATTATTTAATGAACCTGATGTAGATATAGATTTTGATGCTTTTTCTAAGGAGATGTTACCTAACTTCCAATTTCATAAAAAAATGAAAATGTCTGAGGATAATTCGGCCACAGGCAGGAAGCTTTTAAAAACACGCACATTGAGCAAACTAGGTGGCATCGCATACGAGAGCAATGCACGACGAAATCTTGGAGGAGGTAAAACGTATCAAAAAAATGAATTTCGTAGCATACATAACAATCGAAAAGCGAATACCAGTCGTCCACCTTCGGTTCATGTAGATGATTTTATGTCTGGAAAAATCCCAGCAAACCAGCAACATCCAGACATGATGGCCCCAGCATCCACAGCTACGACATCTGCTAATGTAACATCTACAAAAAAAATGAATGTTTCCAAGCGCGGAGGAATCACAACAGCAGTTCCTAGCACTCAAGTAACTACGAGTAGCCGTGGCGGACGCGGACGACGACCCAGTACGAGCTCAACATCGACTTCACGCGGTGCTTCACGCGGTGCAAGTAGCAGTGGTCGAGGTGGAAGTGGCGTTGGAAGAGGAGGGGCCTCAAGTGCTGGTATGATTGGTACGTGGGATATTGGTAGTTCGGCAACTTGGACTGGAGGCCCTCCATCCCTCCCGATGTTGATGGGTCAGCCAATATCAAAATATAATATTGGACGGATAGACGGCCAACGTGATTATACCCGTTATGATAACCAAACCATGCGTACGGGTTATTACGATAATCAATATTATGGCATTCCATCGCCAATGACACCTTATGATCGCCCACCTGTACCACAATCTGCACCAGGGCTAGGTCCTAGAATCAAAGGAGAAAACAGAGGACGAACGATTGCACAAGAATGGCCTCCACGCTCCGTTACTTCTCAACCAGCACGACGGCCTGAGCGTCCGTTTGGTAGAAGATGAATAAGATAATTATTTTATTTTACTGAATCACAAATTCTATAGGCTATAATCTACTTTCCTTTGTATCAGACATTTATTTATATTAATATCCAGCAGTTATTTTATCAGGAATGGGTCAAAACTTTTGTACTAAAAATTGGAGATGGTTATCATGTGATTTATTTAGAAATCTTACATATACTGTATATATATATATATATATATATATATATATATATATAGTTTAATAGGTTTATACGTATACTATGATTTATTTTAGGTTTTTGCAACTTAATTTATATTTATTCATATATATAGTTGTATTGACGTAATTACAGTAAACACATGATGATTCACATGATAATTTCCAATCTCCAATCAGTCTATCGTAGCATTATTCAATATTGTTAGTCATTACTACAGTTGCTTATTGAAAAAGTGGCACGACACACAATAAAACTCCGACAATCTTTTTTGCTAGATTTTCGAGGTCAAACTTACAGATGTTTATGTCAACGTCGCCAACGTCTTCATAAAAAAAAAAAAAAAAAAAAACTGCTTGATTTTTCGATTTGACGAAAAGGTCTATATTAGAATCGGCCAATAGAATTGGGCCAAAATATCTATTAATACCTAAATCCTACTGGCATTGTCAAACTCACAGACCATATCTATAAATAGGGTAACAGATCAAATACTATCGTATTCCCAAAGAAAAAAAAATTGCTAGTTTTTTTTTACATTGGTGGCTCTTGTGAATTCGAAACATCACGTTTAATAGCGACAATACCATATAAATGTCGGATATAAACGTACAGAATCTTTCTAATAAACAAAATGTTTTAAACGAGTCAACAGAAGTTGACACTACAAATAATAATGACACCACTTTATGTGTTTCGCCGTATCCTTCATTAATAAATGATGCGTCCACGTCTTTTAACCTATCATCGGTTGAGAATCGGACAGATTTTAGTGAGCAACCTTTTAACCAAGAAGAGCTTAATAATAACATAACGAAACAACAGTCAACGTCTCAGAGTTTTACTCAAATAATTGAAGAGAATGTTGTATCTCATGATCAAAGCGAAGAGCAACTTAATAAAGGCTCTCAAGAGGATGTCGATAAATTAACTAACTACAAACAGGAATCAACATGTGAAACAAACCATGATTCTGCCCAAGAAGAAATAGTTACTGTACTCGGTGAAGGAGTAGTTAATACTCCACCGAGTTCGTGTATGATAGAGATAGAAAATCAGCCAAAAATGCCTTTATCCGTCTCTGAT